CCCCGGCATAATAATTAATACTTGTCAAATGGCAAATGAGAGCTACATACATTTGTTTAGCACCCAACGCCGCGCCGTCGTAGTCAACTAAGAGTACTTGAATTTAAAATACATAGCAAAATCCCCATATAAAAATATTGAATTGGCAATATTTCGAAAACTAAAAATTTTCGGAATAGACATACATACACAAACTTACCCTTATTTTTAATGGTAAATAAGATAAGATTAAAAAATTGATTTTTGACAGTTTTCTCAATGTAATTTTCATTCTTACTTTATGAACACTCTGTATTAATACTTATCAAAATATTATAAAAACTCTATTAAAGTAGGTCTTTTCCAACAAAGAATCTAACCCAAATTAAATAATAAAGGCTTCCTTATAGGAAAAATTGATAATTCTTTTAGTGCCTGCAAACGTCATTTTTGACATAAGAATTGAAATATGTCAAAAACGGACAGACTTAGGTATAGGACATGATACACAAAATCGGCCTAGAATTTTGCATACAATCCAAAAATGTAATAATATATAGGGTGTCCCATTTATAATAAGCAAGTTGATATCTACTTCCGGTATAACCGGAAGTGCCACCATATTGAAAATATTTTAGCCGAGTTGCCCACATCGACTTTAGTTTACTGTCAAACTTTCAAAATTTTCCAATGTCTACTTTTCGAGATATCGATCGCCGCAGTTCGTCGTGGGACACCTTATATATGTTGATATACTTCCATTTGGAAAAAAATTTATGTCTGTACTTATACTGCTCTTTTTTTTCAATGACCGTATTATATTGTATTGTATTGTATTTGCGCAAAATGAATAGCAATCAAATTATATACAGGGTGTTTCAGGATTAACTGGACAAACTTAAAATCTGAATTCAGGACTACAAATTAAAAAAATGTCCTATGGAGGTATGTCTGGAAACGTTTCGTTAAAGAGTTATGCACCTCCAAGAATGGAGGCTAAAATTCGGTTTTAAATTTTTTCTCAGCTTTGGAAAAAAGTGAAAAACATATTTGGTAGAGATTTTCTACTAATAGAAACGCAATTTTATTTTTTATTATTTAAATTTTTAACAGACCAGAATTTTATCATATAAAAATGTGACTTGGAAAATTTGTTTCATTTAGAAATTTTTTTCTTTTATTTTTCTCATCGAACTGTATAAAATAATGAAATAATCTCGATACACACGTTTATTTGGAATATTGCATTATTTAATCAAATGTAAAATGCCTAATTGGTTAAAAAAGTTATGCTTAACTTGAGCCCGGAACGATTAAAAAATTAATTTACAGCAGCCTACTAGTCATTTTCCATTTTATTAAATAACGCAATTTCTCAAATAACTCTGTAGATAGAGAATATTTTATTTTCTTAATCAAAAACTGTAATATTGATGAAAAAATAAAAGAGACAAAAAGAGTTTCTAAATAAATAATCTAGCTTACCAAGGCGTAAAATTCGGGTCCATTAAACAGTTCGAAATAAAAAATAAAATGAGGTAGCTGATTTCACCCCTTTTACCGATGAAGGATGATTGAAAAAAATATTCTTTAGTGGCTTTCCTATTAGTACAAAATCCCTACATAAATTTATTTTACTTAACTTCTCTAAATTTGAGAAAAAAATTAAAAATCTATTTTTAGCACCCATCTTTGCAGGCGCATAACTCTTTAACGAACCGTTTCTGGACATACCTCCATGGAAAATTTGAGGTCCTGATCAGATTCTAAGTTTGTTCAGTTAATCCTGAAACACCTTGTATAGTTTGGAAAGTGCGTGATTTTTATTTTTGTAATATTTTAATATTGTCTGCATCCACTGAGCTTCGAATTGTGTTACTTTAACTTATCATCAATACAGACAATTTCATGAAAATGTGTCAATGCCAAATGAAGAATAATCTTATTATCTAAAAGCCTAAATGTTAATTTTTTTAATATAGCTTGTAATGTTCCAAGTGCTCTGTTGAATATTGTGAATATAATTTCGAAACACCTTCGGTAACTACGTTCTAGGTTTGTACATATAAATATATCAAAGAAAAAAGAAAAAGATACATTTTTTAACACGCTTTTATTAGCTTCACTTGTATGTTTGTTTGTTTGTTTGTTTGTTTGCAACCGACTCTTTGGACTCGATTTTGACCCACTTTAAACGGACAGATTTAATTGAAACTTTGTACACTTACGAAGAACCGGTAACCATACAATAATTTGATAAGTTTATATCATTATCCTGATCAGAATCGCCAGTCCTTTCCTCACGTATCCTCTGCGTGAGAGCAAGAGGCTTAATATTGTGGTATAATCGTGATTCTCAGTTCGGTCGTTGGCAGAGCGGGCAAGTCTTAGTCGACGCGAAACGACGGACTCCTCGAGCGTGAGTTCAAATCCCATGGCTGAAATAAAAAAATATATATTTTTTTTTCAGAAATATCTGTTGGATCGTAATATGTTATATCAGCATCAATAAGCAATATAAATATAGTTTAAAAAAACTACAAAACACGCTTTCATAGCACATCAAACTAAAAAGTGAAAAATAAATATAGTTTAAAAAACTAAAAAACACGCTTTTAAAGCACATCAAACTAAAAAGTGAAAAATAATTATAAATATGAACTGAAAACAATAATGCACGAAAAATACTAGTATTATTGTGAAAAAGCGTGGGGCGCTTTGTGCCATATTTTTCGTATATCGAGCAACCCACGCTTTTTTCACAATAATACTAGTATTTTTCGTTCATTATTGTTTTCAGTTTATATTTATAATTATTTTTCACTATTTAGTTTGATGTGCTTTAAAAGCGTGTTTTTTGAGTTTTTTTAAACTATATTTATTTTTAAAGGTCCTCTATACATTTTTTTGGTTGTAATTTATCAACAACCAAAGATGAATTACTAAAATATAGCTTTCATGTGTACTTCTAAAAACGTCAATTCTACTCTGTTATTGTATGTACACCGACTGTATGAGTTTTGAGCTGTACGGTAGCTGCAGTATTCATTTTAATATCAAATTCCATCCACAAGTAATAATTCTACATTTTGTGTTCGAGGAGAGTAAAATTCATATGGGAAATGTAATAAAGTAAAATCTCTCGATGTTCACTAACTACGTGACCAGATAACTCTAATCGATTTTGTCACTACAGTTTCTGTTTCAGGAGTTAACACATAGACTTATTAGTTACATTTTAAAATCAATAAATTTCTCTGCTTAACTAAACTTTTTATTAAATTTGTAAGAACTAAATTTAAAAAAGAAAGGACTCATTAAGTCTATTAATTTACTTTTATCTTGACTGTCATTCAAGAAATTAATGTTCATATCGCCACATATAATAATTTTAACTAAGTCCTTAATGTTAGAAATCAGGTATAAACATTTCTCCAGTTTGGTAAAAAATATATCTATATTAGTGTTTGGGCTTCTGTAAACACATAATATACAAATACTTTCACAATTACTTTTTACTTTTATACATACCTACACATTCCAATATTTTATCAATGTTTAATTATATACATCTAACACCTCAGAAAATTCTTTGAAGTTTTTTACATATAACATTACACCACCATGACAAAAATTTATTCTATTATAATAAGCAGCTATCTTAAAATTTTGAAGTTTAATAAATTCAAAATCATTATCACTGCACCGAGTTTGAATGACACCCACAACATGAGCTTGAATTTCTGTTAAAAATGAGAACATTTCACACAACATTAAAACTATGCTGAGTGTAACTTTTTCAACAAAAAGACGCGAGTAGTCATTCCCAACGTATTTTGGCTCGCTGAATCCGAATATTATGCGTCAGGATTACTCTATCACGTCACCATCACCGTCCTAACCTAAAGAAACAGCTTCTAAAAAATTGTGGCGAGATGGAGTAATTCTGACATCGGATTCGCATGCAGCGAGCCAAAATACGCCGGATATTACTACTCGCGTATTTTGTTCAAAAAATTTTTTTCTGTGCGTACCACATATAAAGTTTCTTATGGTATTTTTAATAGATCTAGTAGATTTTGAGTTATAAGCAACTGAAATTTGTATTTCGCACTAGATTTTCTCAAAAAACGATTTTTCCTACGTTTACAATAGATAGATCGAAAGTTATAAAGCAAAGTTATCCCTTTTTTGGATTTCCATTTTTTTTTTTTTAATTAATTGGCCCCTTAATGCGAAGCGAATGCAAGCGCATCTTTTTTTAATTTTATAATTTCCACATTTTCCACAAAATTAATATTCTTTTAAAACTTTAGTGACACTTTTGCAAAGTAAGTAAATCCTAAAACATAAAGGATTTTTCATCCCTAAGTGGCGAGCTTTGTATCCTTTCAAAAGGGGTGTTTTTTCGAATTTTTGAAATTTTTAGCAAAAATTGTCTTATATGCAAAAAATTGCAATAAGAGATGATCTCTTTTTGCAATTCTTTGCGTATAGGACAGAATTTTCTATAAAGAAGTTCATTATATTTTACTAGAATCGAGTTCCAGGCTGCTGAAGTAGGAGTACGTTTAAAATTAATTTGCCCATTACTGAGTATCAAAAAAGCAAAAGAGTATTTTTCATTTTATTATTTTTCTATTTCTTTTTCCTTTTTTCGGGAAAAGAGGCCATTGCCTTTACTCTACTTCAATGATGACGTGTAAATGAGCTTATACTGTAACAGAATCTACCTATCGAAAATATGATAAAAATTGGTTTGTATATTGCATTAAGTAATATTTTTCTGTCAAAACTATTTTTGCAAAGGGTAGGAGAGTTATAGGACACTGTTCCACAAAAACTCGGTAAATGACAAAAATATCCCTTTTGTGTAAAGGTAGTGCTAAAGCTCGTCCCTTAGGGGTGGGAACTTTTTAATTATTAAATTTTACTTACTTTGTAAATATGTCACTAAAATTTTAAAAGGTTAATTTTCTGAAACTGAAATTACATAATTAAAAAAAAACTCGTATTGAAGTGGCTTCGTGATCGACTGGTAAGGATACTTGCCTCTCATCCTGGAGGTCTGGGTTCGATCCCCAGTCGAGGGGCTAGGATTTTTTCTAAACCAGAAATTAATCCGATCATACTGGGACATTGGGTGTGTGTCCATTGTCTCTAAATGTGTTGCCTTCTCCCACACAAGGTACTTTGAGGTACCTTCAGGGATCTAAGGGTTGTATAATCTGTGATGTTTAATTTAATTTTATTAAATCGATTAATTACCTAAATTATCTATTAATCTGATTATATAATAAAGTATAAAAAAAGAACATGTCATGAATGCGAAAATAATGTGTCTGTCACATAATTTAGGAAATACCCATTTATTGATTGACTGCCTTGAGATATCTTCAGGGACAGGGGATTTTATTATCTGTGGTGTTTAATTTCAAAAGAAATAACTTATTGGCAATTAATTAAAAAGAAGTAATAATAAAAAAAGCAAAGAAAGGGTACAACCATTCTCTAGAAAAAAATTCTTCTAAATTAGTTCCATGTGTTGCAAGCGTAGAAAATAATCATTTTCCGAAAAAATCCAACGCGAATTATTAATTTTATTTGTGAGCTGATATATCCCCATACTTCATTAGCCTCTAACTCGAAATCTATTAAGTCTATAGACAAATATGATAAGGACCTTTTGATGGAAAACATTTTTTCTCTCTATACTTTTTTTAGTATAAGACACCATTTTGCTAAAGAATTCGAAAAATGCAAGAATGTACCTTTTGAAGCTGGCCAAACTATTACCTACATGCTGAACATGTCATCAAAATTTTAAAACATTGTTAATTTTTTTCTTCTAAAATGTCTAATTTCCACAAACTATATAACTTGTCAACATAAACATAATATTACTAATTTATAATCAGTATCTTGATACTTTCAGCAAACTGCGCGAATAATATCTTTTGAACTTTAACATTTTTTGTATCCATTTTATAAATGTTTTTGACCGAAACCTTTAAAAGTATCTCGGCAAGCAATATTATTTAGTTAAATCTCATTTTATTCCATTAAATGTTCGACGTATATATTCACTTTAGGCATGATATCCGATTTTTCAACGATTTTTGCTAGAAAATACTTAAATTAATATACTTAGACATTTAATTTTCAACTTTTACGTTTTATAAGGATTTAAAATATGATTTGTACTAAACACAGTTTTTATAATATGATAGTAGTAAGGAACAACTTGAACAACTGTGGATTTCCCTTAACTTTAACAAAGTCAAAGTATCGATAGGAGTAATTTATAAACCTCCACATATATCCTTAGATTGCCTAAGTGAACTTGAAGAAGTCTTAACCAACATATCCTTGGATACTGATGATGTAATCTTAATGGGTGATGTCAACATTGATTTCCTTAAACAGAATACTACCTCTACCGACGCATAATCAGTACACTAAGTTGTTTTAATTTAACTCAAATAATTAATGAACCAACGAGAGTAAGTGAAACAACATCCGCTACTATAGACATAATATGTGTAAGCAACAATAATAGTGTAATCAAAGTTGGTACACTAGATATGTTGAACATGACAGACCACCGTTTAACCTACTGTGAGCTTAATTATGCTGTAAAAAATATGCCACCAAAAACTATAACTTATAGAGATTACTCCTTATTCAATGTTGAAGATTTTTCCAGTGATGCTAAGCTTATCAATTGGGAATATATAGAGACGTTAGATTCAGCGGATGAGAAGTTAACCTTCTTAAATAGTGCAATATCATTACTATTCGATATGCATGCACCTTACAAAAACCATACATATTAAACATAAGTGTCGTCCCTATATTACAGATACAATAAAAGAACTAATTAAACTAAAACATAAAACGTACAATAGGTACCGTAAAACTAGATCCACACCTCACTTACAACTTTATAAAGACATCAAAAACTATCTGTCGATCGCAATACGTAATGAGAAAACTGCATACATTCAGCATCAAATCATGGTTAATCGACACAATCCTGCGAAAATGTGGAAAGATTTTAGTGTCTGGAACGTCCATGGAAAGCCTGCATTTACCATAGAACATGAGTTAAGAGATGTTAATCAAATAAATAACTTCTTTGCAATACCACCTGGAAATATTGATCCTAATACTCTTGATTTCTATCAGTCTAATGAATTACATAACATAAGTAATCTAGAAAATATTAGTACTGTTTCAAGTGAACAAGTTGAGAAACTATTGTACTCGATAACCTCAAATGCATGTGGAATTGATAACATTAATTTAAAAATGCTGAAATATATTTATCCATATTGCAAACTGGCTTTAACGCACCTTATAAACTATTCATTGACAGAAAGAATAACTCCAACTATATGGAAAAGTTCAATTATGGTGCCTATTCCCAAAGTTTCCAAAGCCACTGAGTTCAAACAATTACGTCCTATAAATATCTACCGACAATGTCTAAATTACTGGAAAAAATTGTGGCCAGTGAATTAACGAAACATCTGCAAATAAACCACATTCTACCGGCAAGAGGTATCGACCAGTCAAAAGTAACATATCTTACGCTACTAGATTTTAGTAAAGCCTTCGATGCCATAAATCATACGATTCTGCTTGCCAAGCTAAGTTACTATGGTGTCAGTAATACTCTTCTGGATTGGTTCATGAACTACCTTATTAATCGTACGCAAGTTGTGAAGTTAGATGGTGATATATCGGAGGTGAGAGATGTCTTAGCAGGTGTACCTCAGGGCAGTGTACTTGGTCCCTTACTTTTTGCAATATATACTGCCGATCTACCTAATATACTAACAAACAATTGGAATATACATCTCTACGCTGATGATACACAACTCTACAAATCATGTCATCCCCATGAATCTAACCAAATAATCAATGAGCTTAACATCAATTTAAACTCCATTAGTGAATGGTCCGAGGGAAATGGATTAATTTTAAATCCATCTAAAACTGTGGCCATTGTGGGTAGTAAAATATTAACAAATAGAGCTACTGAAATGCTAACTGTTGACATAATACTAAATAATAATGTTGTTAAGTTAAGTGAGGAGGTCAAGGATCTTGGCGTAATATTAGACCAACATTTATCTTTTGAAGCCCATGTTACGAAAAAATTAAGTGTCTGCTACTTTAAATTCAAGTGTGTGTATAAATATGTGTTGCTACAGGAAACCAAATGGAACCTATTAAATACTGTTATCCTAAGTTACATGGACTATGGAAGTAACATATACTATAGTTTTCTAAATTCAGTATACAAAAACAAAATCCAGGTCTTGCAAAACTCATGTCTTCGTTATTCTTATCCTTATATAGATAGGAGAGCCCCATATAACTCCCACATTACATCCAGCTCAATATACTTAAAACTGAGCAGAGATTTTCAATGTTGTATGGTACTCTTATTTACAAAGTTATACACTCGGAAACACCTAGTTATCTATTTCACTTATTAAAAAAGAGAGCATCTGTACATTGTAATAATTCTGAGAAATAATGATTTATACGACATACCCCAACATAAAACCTCCAAGTTTGAGAAAGCTTTTGAATACACTGCGGCTATGTTACTTAACGAGTTTAAAGAAATATTTTCTAAACCCTCACTTTCGCAGTTTCATTGTCAGTATAAAAAATGTCTTTTAAATAAACAAAATATGATAGTGGAGACCTAGTTTAACTGAGGTTCGTTTCCTAATTTTTAGTAACTTTATTAATTATCATGATTCTGCGTATTATAATATATACACTTATTTATGTACCTAGTTATTTATTTGTTAATTTGTAGCTATATTTGTTGTGCTTTGTCAGGCAAGATTGAAAAATGCTAAGCAATATCTTGTCCTTTTGGGATGTATTTAGTTTATGTTTCTATTTTGTTTTGTTATATTTTATACACCCAATAAATATGTATTATTATTATTATTATTATTATAGTATGATATATGAAGTATAATAACCCACATATTGTCAAAAAAATCCTCTGATCTAAGGGCCGTGTGCAGCTAGACAAAATTCATAGACATAAAGCTGTGCGATTTTGATGTTAAATATGGAGTTTTTTGTAACGGTACAGCGCCAAGAAGTATTTTAAAACTAAGAATTTCAGCCAAAGCCGTCAAATTTGGGATCAGCATTAGATAAAAGAAAATAGTCGGGTAATTCAAAATTTAATATTAAATACAAATTTTATTTTTCAACAAAAATAAATTTAGTAAATTAACTGGGAGTACAGATTCCCCTGGTAATTATTATGTTTGTGCCTCCCAGTAAGATAAAGAATGTGACCAAACATACACGGTGGGCGAAGAAATTCGTCTATTTGAGACAACAAAAAAACATAGAACATAACAGTTCAATAGGATTAGAATAGAGACATTTTAGAAACGGTTTAATTATAGAAGGTTGTTTAAAAAGTGCTACAAACAGTATCTGTGTTTTACTAAATTGCATCCTTCGTATATGTTTATGGGGTTAAATTGTACATCAAATTCCTCATTTATAAAATCAGGGTTGAAGCTATTATAGATAAAAGTGGTACGCCAGGTCCATATAGCTCAGGGAACCTCCCGGAGATAAACGCTTTTTTCTTAAATTGATTAATAACAACGTGTTAATGTGCAAGAGTCATTTAAAGGCAATTAAATTATTTTGTATTTATTCTTCAGTCAAAACAAGTATCAACAAGTTTCTGTTTAAATCAACCACGTTAACCTCACGAAGAAATAAACACGTTGAACTATGACGTTTACATTCTCATTAGTCAGTAGTTCCAGGATTATTCTCACTTTTACGTTTGTAATAAATCTATTACAATTGGCAGCATTCTATTACCTTTATTACGAATGCAAGGAAATCAATTACGTTTACTAAATTAAAGTTTTGATGGTTTGGTTTGGAACTTGATAGAAAATATATTAGTATTAAAACAGATGGCACTGCAAAGTGCAAAATACTAGACACAATCAAATTATAAAAAAATCTGACAATACAAACCATTTTTTTCTTCTTCTTTGTAGTTATCTTATTGTTTATTTATTACATT